CTCTAACAAATATTTGTGTCACTACTCTCGTCAGATGGTACGCTGTCATCCACAGGTAGTGGTCCTCTTACGTCTTTCCAGACCAGATGAGGAAGGGAGAAAGCAGATATCCCGGATGGGGATAGGAGAATAGATACCTCTTAAAGATAAAAAGTCTAACAAAACATTTGATGCGTTATACATGTCAATACATATACATATTTCGGACCATTCATGCTTTATTCCACTTTTTTTCCTTTTTTTTGTTCTTTTTATTTTCCAAATAAGTTTACCGATTTCATATTATTTTAATTACATACAAATTATCAAGTGTCTACCAGTCACATAGCATACTTGAAATTAAGAAAATTCAACTTATTAAGCTTACAAATACAAAGTATGTAAAACAGACAAAATTACAAAATTATTAATTTAATCTTTTCTTTTTATCTAAAAATACTCTTTAATACGTTTAAAGAAATACTAAATTTCTTACCGAAATCTTGATAATTTTTTTATACCGTTCTTTTTTTTATCATCTTCTCTCTCTATATCATTTTCTCTCTCTCTCTCTCTCTTTCTAACTCTTGAAAGAAGAATGGAAGTGTGGAGAAAATGAGAGGAAATGCCTCTATTTATAGAAAATGGGAGCCATTCGATTTGCACTAAGTGACGAAATCCAGTGAAGAGAGAGAGTAAAAAGATGTTTGGCAAAAAAAAACGGAGAAAAAAGACCTCTTCCACTAGCAGTGGAACGCTGCCCGAGGTGGGCGACAGTACACTACTTGAGACGGCAGTGGCCTTACTCGTCCGACGCACGCACTGCAGGCCTAGCCTGCAAGCGCCAGGCTATCCTGTCACGTGCAGGGCCTTGGTGCGCTGGGGCACCGCGTGCAGGCTTCAAGCGCGCAAGCCTTTCCGCACAGGCATGCTGCACGAACGATGAACGCACAATATCCGGCATTTGCCTATCCGCGCACGATGTGATGCACGTGCAGGCCTATCCTCCGTGCCACGCGTGATGGGACCGGCGCACTGTGCACACGGCTTGCGCCTGTCGTGCGCGCACACATTGTGCATGGGCACCCGCGCGGGCATCTCATTCCCACAGGATTTTTCTCGCTGGATTTTTCCTTCTTGTTTTTCATTTTTCTTGAAAATTATTTATTTTAAAAAAATTGATGATTAAATAATTAAATTAAAATAAAATTAAATAAAATTAAATAAAATCAAATAAATAATAAATTGTATAATAAAATAAACGAGTTTAGTGTGACCTTAATGCCCTGATAATTAAGGTTTTTAAATACAAATTATGCACGGTGATGAGCGAGGTGTTACAGAAAATATCCTTATTGAAAGATGAATCAAGTATAATAAATAGTCTAATATGTTATAGGCAACAAGCCTAGTCATGTTAATGGAATGTCTCAAAGCAAACGACTCTAAAAAGCCCAAGAAAAAAACACTAGTAGCCACATGGAGTGACAATAATAGAAGTGAGCTTGAAAGCGAAGATCAAAAAAAGGTCACAAACTTGTGTCTTATGGCTATTGAGGATAAGGAAGATGGCATGTGTTTAAAAGCCAATAAAGGGAGGAGTTTGTATCTGAAAAAAAGTTGCTTAAGACAAAAGACAAGAGACAAAAATGTCTTTAAAGAGCTAATGCAAAAGCAAAGAAGACACATTTAAAACCAACCACACATGACATATTATCAAAAGTGGAAACATCAATAATTCCATTTCTTCAATTGAAAATATTATGTTTGTTGATACTTTGAAGTACAATATGTTGAGTAGCAATCAACTGTGTTATAAAAGACTTAAAATAATATTTGAATAGAATTGTTGCTTGTTTTTTATATACATAATCATAAAACAAAATTTGTAGATCATCAACATGAGAAATGTATATGTAATTGATCTTGACGATTTGTTGTATCTTGTGAGACATGTTCAATTGTTTTATTTGATGAGTCTTTGCTATGGGCATGGTAATAAGAACATAGTTTATAGGGCAATTCGAAAAGATTAGGTAATTTATAAGATCCATTCAATTGACTTTACTACTTGCCAATGCCCGAGATGCCTGTCCAATTAGTATATAAGAGCTAGATTCTAAATTATTTCTAAACCTAATCAAGAACAAATAAAAGTCTTAAAAAATAATAGTAACTAAATGAATATGATAACATCATATTTGAGCATAAAATAAAGCTAAGAAACAGGTTATTAACATAAACAACACATCTAATAATATAAAATCCCAAGAAATTATTCAACCCATATAAAATTCACCAGAAAAATACAAATAGAGAAACACAACAAAAATCCAACAAGAAATCCAACATCCAATAAAACCAAATTCACCAGAGAAAAAAAGACTAATAGCATCAGAAAGCTATTTCAAACTATAGCCTTGACCAAATTCACAAGGCAAAATACTAAAGGAGCAATAGTAAAGACTTCATTCTATAGTATACTGTTCTGGCATATCACCATACTAATCATCCCAAACAACATCCATCTGATAAACTTGATCAGGGAAGAACCATCCAAAGTTCATTCGCAGGTATCTACCAGGTCCAATCTCGCCAAAGATGCTAAGTCAAGGGAGAGCAATTGACACTTCAAGCCAACAAAAGGACGATAGTACAAGCAGTTAGTTGGTCCTCCCCACTTTTTTGAATTGATCAATCTAATGCATTTGAAGCTAGACAAAAACAAAGCTTGATCGCCGAGATCAGTAATCTTCACCCACTTCATCTCCGAAAAATCTATCTCATGAATTATTAGCGAAGAATAGGGAACAAAATCAACTACCAAGAGTCGATCAGCCACAACCACAAATTCCACATTGTTGCTAAATAATTCAGGCCTCCCTTCCAACTCTAGAAGAGTAATACAAGCAGAAATCAAATTGAAACTTCCAATATGACAATCAAAGAATAAAGCATAAATCTTGAACTTAAAGACAGCTACATTCACAGGTTTTCTTTCTTTGGTATAAGCAAGACGTATCCATTTGGCATCACTATATCAACAAAAGTGGATCTGATCACATGTCCAAGAAAGACTCACAATAAAAAAATCTTTCTAAGGGATAATAGAAGCAATGATTGACGTTCTATTGACTTCCTCCAATTCATCAGGTGGAGGTGGGATAGGAACTTTAAGTAGGTGCCCAGTAACAGGATTTATAAACCAAAAAAGATTGCCAGGAGGTTCAATGACAAAGTATCCACTAGAAACCCCAAGGAAGGATCTTTGGGAACAGGAATGCAGCTTGGTCGTGTATCTTGTACTATTAGATATGTTGAAGAACAAGTAAGACTTCTTACCCCAGGATAACATGATAACAATAAGTGGAGATAGAGATGCAAGAAAATCCTTTCTAAAGGCCTTAGAACTTGACCTTCATCTAGTCCAGACACGACTGAATGACAAATAATCCACCATGCTGAGTTGCTTTGTTAAAGCATAAAGAAGATCATCAGGGAGTTCAGCCCATTGTCTCAAGTCTCTACATAGACTTGTTTTACACTTTTTGCGTCTTCCTCGATTGTCCTCTCAATCATCATCCCACTCCAATGAGGTGCCTGCATTTTAGAAGAAATGACAAAGGTTATATAACACACATGCATTTTTTCATTCTTCATGAGACATATTATTTGAGAGCTAGTCACTTGTTCAAGAAATCATCAATATTAAAAGTGGACTAGAGTGGTGAATCCAACCATAAACTGGACAATTGACTATGCTAGTTTAAAAAGTATGTCAAAGATAAATTGAAAAATTGTCAGTTTAGTTAAAACCAGTAAATTCATTTAAATCTGATTAGTTCAGATGATTAGATTTGTTTACTGAATTTTTTCAAGTATCTGAAAACTCCTCATTTCTAAATCAAAAGCTCTTTCCTTGATTGATAAATAATATTCGTGTGTACTATTTTCACCATAATCAAATAAAATAATCATATATTAGATACTGAGGGCTTTCTTTAAGAAGAAAAATACCACAGCGAAAGGCACCAATGGATGTAATCCCAAATGCTAAAGAGACTAAACAGAATTTACATTTTCTTAATGGAGATTAAATAAAAAGATCCAAGATATCAGTTTCATCATAGATGATCTGCTTTTGAGCAGAGTACAAAGTTTGATTAAGACCAGTGCTCTCTAATCTCATGAAATGAAGATGTGGACTTGTCAAAAGTTCTTCTGTTTCTCTTTTTTCAAGGAATAGAAAAGAGTAAAAAGAATAATTAAGAAAATAATCTTTGGTTAGATATTAAAAGAAAAGCATGTATAGTTGTAGCACAAAATGGATATCCATTATAACATTGTTCTTTTGGTATCTGGGAATTGGGAAATTTTTTTCTAGTTCACAAGTCCCTAGATCAAATTACGGTCAAAAACCCGAAATCCCTTTGAAATTGGGCAATAAAGGCATATGCAATGCTGAATTATCTAGCAGGCTTTTCTCTATAAGGGCCTTGACTCATTAGGGATCAAGACAGCCCAGGGATTATTAGCGTTAGGTGTATGAGTGAGAAACGGGAAGGCAAGAAAGGGGAAGAAGAGAGAAGAAAGAGAAACAGCGAGAGTTGGGGAGTAAGAATCTGAAATTAATGATATACTCATGCTTAGTCACCTAAATAGATATTTGTATTACCCAAAAAGGGTAAACATCCCAACAACCATGGCGTAAGACAGCTGGCACTCCAACTAATAAGCCACTACCAGGTACTACATAGTACATAACAGTGAGCTGAAAAGGAAAAAACAAAATTTAGCGGAACTATTTTTTTGGCACTTTGTAACTTCTACTACACTTTCATGTCCTAATACTCTTTCTCTAATACTTGAGTTTAAGTATTTTCTAGTCTGGAGCATAGGATAAACAACACTGCTGGGACATTTATCAACTACCACTAGTACACAACTTTACTCAGCAGACATCTTTTTCCTTTCCTCCTACAGTTCATATGCCAAAAAAAAAGAAAAGAAATAAAAAGAAATATCCAACCAGGAGGCAAAGACAAGAATATTTCATAAGGGACTGTTATTTATCACGGAATATTGTATGTATTGAAGAATATCATAACACATAACAACCAAATAATTTTCACATGGTTACTAACACTGAGTAGCATGCAGCATCATCAAAATCTCAGCAGAAAAACAAACACAGCCAACATGTTTAGATTTGTGTCGCACAAGCTAGGTCCACAAGGCAAGGCAACTGATTGTAAACATGCTTTTTTTGGAAAGATGTAAACATGCTATATCAAGAAATCACAAGATAAACAGAAGATCATAGAGTGTAAACAGTATGGAACAAGGACATCATTGCCGGTCAAAACCAAAACTAGCTCTGTAGCAAGTTCAAAAGTTGATTTACATCAACAATCCATGTTAATCAAGGCATTGTTGATTCTGCAGACATATGGAATTCATTTGTGCAATAAACACAACATTACGTTTCCGAAGCCACATGTTGAATGAAAGCACCAAGAAGGTGTCACCCATGAACAAATGATTACCTTGCAAGAAAGAAGCTCTATGACGCCCACAACACAAACTCTTCATCGCTGGCAAAAGTGTGGCAAGTAATCAAAAGTATAGGATATACAATCGAAGATATTTGTCCCATGAAAAGGGCTTTATACCCTATTGAAAGTTCTTTTATTCCTATCATCCATGGTATCCCAAGTGATGAAGAGTGAAATAGCACTTTTAGCCTTGTGCTTTCTTTATAGCAAGCAACGCATCCTCATCGGGTGTTATTGAAATTTGTTTTTTCATCATGTACAATTCAATTAAAATCAAATGTCTTCATATTCCAAATCCAAAAATGTTAAAATGATCTCAATTTTGTGTAATATATTACCATTCATAACATGACATTGTTAAAAAAAATCCTATAAAAGAAACATTGTTAAATAAAAGGAGTAGACAGTAGCGTTGAGAAAGCTACATTATGCCCCTTGAAGCAACCTGTAGTTAGTGAAATAATAATCAACAATCTGTTTACAAAAAATTGAAATAGTTCAAGAGACCTTTTTCAGCTGAACTACCAACAGATTCTTTCCTCCTTATCCAACAATGTGAACTCCTGTTGTCATCTAAAATGGTTGTATCAAACTTATCAAACATTTTGCATTTTCTAACAATTTGTATAGGTCATATTCAAAAAAATTAATTGAAATGCTACAAATTGGTTATATAGTTGGCTTTACAATATATAACCAGTGCTGAATCATTAAAAACATCGTAGAAAGGGCAAAATCTTCCTTTTAAATTCACAAGATCTCAAGGCAATCACATTATCTAAATCTATTGTATAATAACTAACTACTTCCACCATAATGGTTGATTTTCTCTTACTTCATAACATGATAATTCAGAAACAATTAGTTGAATAAGCAATAATACAAAATCTTTAAGCTAATAGAAAAAGGAAAAAGGAAATGATGCAACCCACAATGATAATGATTGGCAATCTGCAATCACAGAGGTCAAAAACACAACTGCAATCACAGAATTGTTACAACTGACAAGCATGCGGAGTGAAGTACTCAATCATGAGAAAATATCTATTGATTTTAGATACGAGCCGTTGGAATAACAACGGAATAGCACCCAACTAGTTATAGTATCTCTAGAAATCCAATTATGACTAGAACACTAAATAGGAAATGACAATTAAATAGAAATCTTAACTAAACAATGAATAAACAAGCCAATTAAAAAGATTACGACCTATACTAATAAAACGATGGAAAAAATATTCCAAGATGATTTGCATAAAAAAGGACCCAACTTCATTATTTATACTACATCCTCTAACATGATCTTATATCCCGGGGAGAGATGTTAAGTTTAGTAATAGGAGTTGGAAGACAGAGAGAGATTACTAGACTCTGCGTAATTTGAACTTGCCAACTATGTCAAAAAGAATAGTAAACAATAGTAACAGAATATATGAGAATCCCAAGATTTGAACTTAGGCATCCAGTTCCAATACCAAAAGTGCATAGTAGAAGTGCAGTGAGACTACATGTGGGCTCAGGGTTGAACATGACTTTAATACCATGAAAATTAATTAATGAGATAACTAATTATCCCAAAAACTTCTTTTAGAAGATTTTATGAGCAAAATTGATTGTGATTGAAGGATCTAGATATCAACACATAAAATCCCTTTAATAACTAGGTGCTAAGTCTAGTTCAACAAATAGTAAGGTTTCACAAAATATCGTTCAAGAATCAAATCCCTAAAACAAGAACTGATTCAATAATCATCTCTAGAAAGACAAGATGCAAATTAAATACTGAAGATTCAAAAGATTCAAAATCCATGAGAGAGGAGAGATAGAGAGAGCATAAACATGGTAATTCATAAATTGATGGCGATGATGAGATGATGGAGACGAGCAAACAAGATAAAAAGCATGAAGTTTTACCAGACACGGATGAGGATCGCACCAATGGACGAAGATCATATCGACCGCTGCCTCTCTTCCCCATCTCCTCATTCTCTTGTTTTCTCAGTCTCAAAGGAAATTAGGGTTCCGACCATTTATACTCCTTAACTCAAGAAAGATACCATAAAAGCACACTTGTAGTGGATAGATCCTTGCCATAGACACGTCATGTGACACCCTGTCAACTTTATCACACTCGTGTTTTCGAACTCCAACATTAATTTGTACATACCTTTCTTGTTTCAGCTTAATTATGCATTTCTAGGACTCCAAAAAAGGTGCATCAACAGCAAATTAAGAGAGTGTTGCCCGCGTTTGGAAAAATGAGGAATATAATATAAATGAGATCAGTGAGCTTCCCCAAGTCCTATGTAGAAGAAAAAAGATAACCCTTAAACAAGAAACAGAAGGTCTAGAACCATATATGCCTAAGTCTACCAGAAGAGGCAGCAACATCGTCTGAAACCCTTTCCATTGCTTGTCTTTCAGATGTCCAATAGTGTGATAAACAAAAAAAGTTTTTCCTTCTATTATTGACCCGATACCTTCCCACAATTGGATCTCATCCTGAAACCATTGACCAGATATCAAGTCTCAGTCACCCATAATAAAGATAACATTGAATCTTCCCCTTCTTTTCTTAGATTTTCATCAGTCAAAATCCTCCTGATCACAACTTCCCTCCCACTGCAGAAAAAGATAATTCTAAATAAATTCATCTTCAGCTTAATTAACCCCCAGCAGAATCCCCCAAGACAGAATTTTTCTAATGGCTTTCTGAGCTCTACAATAGGAATGGTATTTTAAGAGTGTACTTTTTTTATTAATTTTACAATTATCAAATTATCCTTAAAAAAGGAAAAAGCACAGAATGGTGAATACTCTCCTTCCAGTCACAAATCTTCCACCATCAAAGGCACAACACCACTTCCCTCACTAAAGTAGCTAATAACTTCTCCAGAAAACAAGAGAAAGAAGAACAGGAGAGCTTGATGGCATATTGACACTACTGTGAGAAGGAGCGGTTAGAACTATATTACCAGATCAAAAAGGAAAGAGAATATTAAACCTGCACCTTTCTGATGGAAATACTTTGTTGGCATTACAACATACATGAGGAGAAACAAGTGAGAGTAGGGATAAGACACTGTGGCACGCAACAGTGTCAACCAATGCAACAAGCATGCAGGTTGGATTCCAAAAATGTCCAAACAATTTTAAATATTATCTATTATTTTCATAAAATTTATGAGTTTTTGAAACTTTTAGAGTATTTTTTATTTATTCTCTAAATAAATAAAATATAATAAAAAGATTTTGGAAATATAATTTCTATAAGAATTTTCACAATAAAATGCACATACTTGAACAAACATGCATAATCTACACACAAGCTATACTACAATAATAAAGTACCATTGTTTATAGCTGAAACTGGTAGCTCGCGAGTAGAATGACTTATGGTTATTTTCTTTTTCATATTTTTTTAAAGAAAAAGAAAGAAAGAGGAAAACCATAGAAAGAGAGCAAGGTATCATCATATATAAAGAAAGAAAACAAGTTAGAAAAGGGGGGGGAAAAAAGAGAGGAAAAAGAGATAAATTTTGTAAAAATTTAATGACAGTTTCCCAATTACTTTGCCTAATAGTCAATGGCAAGCCCCCTTAGCCCCCTAAGAGGCTATACAGATCATTCTACCCCAAATAGCATTTGTAGGATTAACACATTAATTAAAAGTTGTGGATTGTGTTCCAACCACAAAGCCCAGCAGTCAGCAAAAAGTGCCTTTCTCCAAAGCATTTCACATCATTTATTCTTCAGCCAAACTCTCAAATAGGCAGAGGAAAAAAAAAAACTCAAGAGTGGGTGGGAATCCCCAACTCTCCTCAAAGAGGCTGAATATATTGGGTAAAAATAAATGAAAAAATTATCCATTAAATGTAAAAAATTATTAAAAACACATAAAGATATTTCTAGAGGCACCAAGGGGTTGCCACCCATTTATGGGCTCATAAATTAGAAAATTAAAAGAGGAACTCAGGTAAATGTCACCTAAAAGAGTTCTGACAGAGGATAGAATGATATTTAAACAAAATACTTAACTTTTTTGGTTTGTTGCAGAGGGATCAAAATATTTACAATTTGGACCAACTATCGCCTACTCCTTTCTCTCCATAGTCCAAGAAATGACATGAGGAATAAGAGATACAAGCTTCTTCTTTCTGTCATGACAGTGATTACCGTAACAGCATAGTAGCTACATTCCTAATAGATCCACCTGTCACCCACTTGATTCCTGAAAGGGAAGCCTTCTCGCTTGAAGACACAACAAAAGATGGTTAGCGATTTGAAATAGCAGAACAAAAGAGACAACTATTAGCAATGATGCCTTCCTCTTACTGAAATTACCCATGGTAAAGGATACGCTCACATGTTGCTTCCTAGACAAAGAAAGCAACTTCAGGGGAAGCCTTCTGCTGCCAAATAGGCTTTCCGGGCCAACCGTGAAGGAAAGTATCCAGTTGAAATGAGCAAGATTTTGACAAAGAGTTCCATCCTTAGAAACACTCCAAATTGGGGCATTCTCCTTACCTGATCCATAGAAGCTTTCTCAGAGGCAGCAAGATAATTAACATACTCCTCAATCTCTAAAGGTTTATGACAAGGTTGATTACAATCTTTCACTTAATTAAAAGCTAAGTAAAAGATTCTAAGAAAACAGGTTTGCAATACAGAGTCACTATATCATACATTGTCCAAAAATTCCAATCTTTGCCCATTGCTAGTTACAAAATGCACGAGATGAATACTACCAACCAAGTTTTTCTTTCAGTACCGAAGGCATCTCCGTCATCCAACGCCCACCATAACACCATATCTAGCCTTGACAATCTTCCAACACAACTTTCCATTGCTAGAATAAACCTCCACAACCATTAAAATGGAGAGCCTTAGTGGAGGTGACAAAGGATTTAATGCCTAATCCTTCGGCAGGCTGCAGTTCAAGAGAATCCTATTTAACCAAATGGAATTTTCCTCAACTCTGTCTCCCCCACGGGAAGGAGACTAATACTTACCTGGCTAAATCAAATTTATTTTGAGATGTGGCTCAAAAAGATTTGACAGCATGTCATTTGACACATGAATTATACATTAGAACTATAATTTATGGTATCTTTCTCAAGTACAAGGAGTATAAATTGTTGGAAAACCTATTTCCCTTTCATTTGAAAACCTCTTTAAGATTGAGTGAAACAGAGATATAGAGGACAAAGAAGACCATTTCATAGGCATTTGTCCATATTTATATTTTCCAATATGTGGAGATAGAGATGAAGGAACTTTTATTTGTTTTATTCATTCACCTCCATAATTATCATTGCTCTTTTTCTTATCATCATCATCACGGTTATCATCATATTCATTTTTATCTCTCTCACATCTCATGAATTTAGAGCATTAATTTACAACCGGTTCTTCTCAAAATGATTCTTGAATTAATTATGCTTTTAGGGTTTTATTTTCACTAAATGCACTACTTAATATTTTATATCTAAATCTAGGAAATTGACAGTAAACACATGTATTAAAGACATTTTATATATTAAAATGTGATCTTCGAAATGATCATCAAATTAAGTTACTTAATGTTCTTAATAGGATCTTTATCAAGGACAAACCAAGTTTTTGCTAGTTTCCGTGCATTATTTATTAAGATATAAATCAATTTATTGGTAATTTAGATAATAACATTTTATTGTTGTCTTGAGATGCTAAGATTGGAAAATAGAATATACATACATTTGTAATTGTTATGTTTAATGTTTTTGACAGAGTTATTAGAAATGCCTACATAATATATATGTTGCTTGTTAATATGAACACGAGAGTAGAATTCTGTAGATATATCTACTATTATAAAATATTATTGATATGTTTCCAACATTATTATCCTAGTGGCATAAAAATAATTCGCTAAGGTTAATATAGCCATTAAAAAAGAACTAGTGGGACTCAGTTTAGAAGAAAAAGGAACACTTTTCATATCTACATATAGCAATCCTTTACTAAAAATTTTCTGTTTTTGGCATAAGCTTATTCCAAAAGGAAATATCTAACTAGTGCTCTTTAATTTTTCTCTCTTATAATTCCCAAGTAACAATGTCTGGCAAAGAAACTCCCCAAGTCCAAAGGAACAATGTCTCCTATCACAATAATGATTGACCCTAACATCTTTCTACTAAGAATTTCTTTACTATCATACGTGCTAGACTGAATTGTTTTTGCTTTTTTTTAATAAAAACATGATAGACTGAATACTATACCATGTATATCAGAATCTTCAATTTTGTTTCATGAATATGATACTGGTACAAACCCATGTTATTTACTAGATCAACTTTACCATAATATTTTTATTGCCTAATAAAAAAAACGAAATTAGAATTAAGAAGTTAACTGTGATTCTTGAAACAGGTGAAGAGTTTTTTTTTTTTACCTAGCCATATGTCAAAAGAAATTCATTAGTACTATTTTCTCTCTCTTTAGATGCAGGGCCATGCTGAAGAGTCATAGGAACTCTATGGATAAAAACTCAAAGGGCAACATGTCCAAGGGCAACAACAAAGGATGATAACTCAAAGCGGCGACATACAAAGCTGCAAGAAACCAACATTAAGTCAGGTGATGAGATGCCACTGTGGTCAAAGCTCCTTGAGATCTTCTTTATGCTATATATAAACAACTAAGCATACAAGATTACTTCTCATTCAACTAAGTGTGAACAAAATGGGGATTAAATTTTGAAATTTCAAGGACATCTTGACATCCATACCTCCATTAATCCTTCTCATATCACCCTGCAGGCTAGAATTCTGTTATTTTTACAACTTATTTGATGGTAGCATATTTGAGATTAAGACTCCTTGCATTTCAATGAAATTATTTCATGGGATTTCTAGTGGATATTTGGTCATAGAAGGTCTCGGGAATAATAATTTGGCTTACTAACCAGATCACAAGGCACCATCTTGTCGTGGCCAAACCACCAGAGTATACTAAGTTAAAGAAAAAAATTTATCTTCTCATGATTGCGTTGATCATCCCTCAAAAAACAATTCTCATGGTGGGTCTCACTAAAAGGTGTCCACGACTCTATTTTTGTTGGTCCATAGATCCTAAAAGGATTTTTTATGAGTATGACGAGGACGTGTTTCATGGATTTGATTGTCTTTAACTTCAAGGTTTATCTACTAGGCATTGATTGTTAGATTGGCCTTTTGAACCTAAAATCTACTACTTGTATGACTCTTCTGCCACTCAATGGTAAGCCTAGATCAACCAGACATAGTAGGTTTATGACTTCAGGTAACTGACTTTTGGTGGTTGATTTTGTCCTAGAAAGATAGCTACATGTTTAGGAGATAAATCTCGTAAAGACAGAAAGGGGGAAGATCATAGACCTGGGTGGTGAATCATTATTTTTCTCTAGTTATAAGGATAACATATTGTTTTCTAGTTCTAAGGGTAACATAATGTTGAACACAAAAAAATGGGGACGGCACAACAACAGCCTCTACCAACTTGGGTTCATGTTAGATAAGTTTCGTGTGTGTTCCCTTGAGAAAGAGTTGGTTGGTGAATACATGATTAACGTGAACAATTCTCTTTGATATCCTGTTTGATGGTACTTTCCTAAGAGTGCTTACAACATGGATGCTGTTTGAGATTACAAGTAAGGTCATATGGAGGAACAAAGAAGGTAAAACATAAGGATTTTACTGCTTGTTTGATTTCTTCTCACTTTTAAATTTTGGTCAAGACTTCAAATTTTGGAACTTTTCTAGGTTATTTGATGTTTGTTTCTCCTTGTTTCTGACTTATTTTCGATTTGGAATCTCTAATATCTCTTAAAGTGGGGCTGGTGGTTGAGACTTTTAATCACTAGACTCTACCTGCTGGTCTTTGTTTGTTTTGTGTCTATGTTTTTTTAAACATTGTCGATTCTTCTATGTTTTTAAACATTATGGAGACTTTTTATAACGTGGGAGGGTATGAGAATGATCGTTTTAACTCTCGGAACAACAACTTCATGCATGCAGTACAGAAACTTAACCGCCTATTTAACGTCTCCCTCTACTTGAATCAACAATCAAATTATATAGCATGCAAAAACAAGAACTAGAGAAACTAAAACGAGAAAAAGAAAGATGCCACAGCTTACCCGATAAGTCGATCCCAACTCCTCGACTCAATAAGACTTTAGAGAGCTATCTAACTTCGAAGAACTTGAAGACGCTAAAAGAAATTAACAAAAGCTAACTCTTGAAAAAGCAAAAGCTTAATTTTATTAATTTTCCAAGGTATTGTGATAAAGCTTGAACTTGAGCCTTTATACAAGCTTTTATTTTCTACTTCTAATTGGAATAAGATTTAGAATTCCTATCCAAATTCTAGTACCTAATCTAATTAGAAATCAAATACATAAATAATTCAATAATCAAATCCTTATCCTAATCTTAAAATAATAATTAATCAATCCTATGGATGAGGTTTAATATTAAAATATTAATAAAACTATTAAGCCATAAAGCATTACTTGGGCTTTAAACTTCGTTTGAACAAACTTGGCTTACTCCTTCGAATAGTCTCATTTAGGAAAGTAGTCAACGACGAAGTGATTTTCCTGTTAAGAAGTTTCCCATTTAGGAAATTGGAATTTAATTTCATGCTTAGTGTGTTCCTGTTTATGAAATTGGAATTTACTTTCCTATTTGAGCAGATCCCATTAGAAAACAAAAGGATTCTAGACTTGCTTGTCTATTTGGGATAGGACCAGCAAGATTCCTCCTTGGTGGGGATTATATCATTGGGACTAAGTTTGAGTCATCTAAGATCACGCCATCCCTCTTCTTCCAAAAGATTCATCCTCGAATCTTGTGTTTGTCAAAAGGAAGATGATTAATGATAACAATAGAAAGCTTATTATACTTGGTGGCTCGCTGACTCCATCATTGATGTAGTTCACGACCAGAACGACACTTCTTCTTAGATCATGCAAGATATCATCACTAGAAATAAAAGAACTATCAACTAAACATGACTCATCTTGGTGGCCGGTTTCCTTTCCTTCTTTTATATCTTCCTTGATAGGGTGTTTGACCTCTGCGGGAGCTTGAATCTTTTCTTGAATAGGAAGGTTCTCTATCACATCACCATATGGTCAGGCCATCTCTTCCCTTAATGTTTTTTGCACTAAGTCCTTCTATTCATCAAATAGATTACGGAGTTTTTGCATGTCCTACCGTAGTTCGGCAAGTTCCTCATGAAAACTCATTGTGAAGAAAATCTTGCAATAAAAGCTTAGTGAAATCAAATAAACTCTCCCTCATCTTCGCTCATGTTTACCTCACAATATCTAATATTATAACTTCTTCTGTCAAGTTAAGCGTTCAAAATCAGGTTTTGTGACATCTCAAGTGGTAAATAAGGCAAATGGGTATCGGATACAGACACAGAATAACGAGTGCATGATAAAATTTATGCAGCGAAACAAAATTATTGTAAATTTCTTATAAATACATATGAGTTCCAGTACATGCATATGCTGAGGGTAGAAGTAGATATAAAATACAAAATAAAACATAAGTGTCACTTCTTTCACTATGCTATTGGACTCATCAAAATGCTAGAACAATCATGCACTCAGACTTGTGGATCCACGGGATTCTCATAGACTTCTAATAGTAGGTTAGCCTGTGGTTCTTCACTTTCTTCTTTATCTGGGTGGGAGGGCATAGAAAAAGTGAGTTTCATATACTTAGTAAGGAAAACAGTATTAAATTAACATCATAAGATTTCAAAAGTTAATTATTTTGACTTAAGAGCTTACCATTTAACCTCCTCATTTACCTATCTCACATTATAAAAAACCATTTATTTGTTAATAAATCGATACATTACTACAGACAACCAAACATACATCATGCCAAATAATAGAGAAAATCAAATAAATAATGAAATGCTCAGATTTTCGTGTCATGCTTCACAAAGTCATTACAACTTCCATCTATGAGGGCAGATACAGATTTCCAACTAATTAAGTGGAATGACCAAATCAGATAAAGACACAATAATTTGCTCAGGCTCATTTTCTGCTGGCCAAACTATGGTATGATCTATGACCACGGTCATACCAACCATAGTGGCCCTAACAGATAACTATAGTCACGATATTACTTAGCCACGAGTGACCTCTACAAATAATGCGATACCACTCTTGTCAGAGAGTATGCCATCATCCACTAGGAGTGGTTCTCTTACGTCTTTCCATATCAGATAGGGGAGGGAGAAACCGATACCCTGAAGGGTAAGGGGAACAAATACCCTTCAGAGATAAAAAGCCTAATGAGACACTTGATGCAATATGCATGTCAATACAGACACACTTCAGACCATACAGGCTTTATTCCACTTTTCTCTTTTTCTTTTCTTTTATACTTTTTATTTTTACCGTTTACATATTATATTTATTACATGCAATTCGTCAAGTGTCTGCAATTCACATAGCATGCTTGAAAAAAAGAATAATTTGACTCATTTTAACATAGAGGTATACAAAACAGGCAAAATCACAATCATATTAAATTAGTTTATATAAAAATATTTTTTAAGACGTCAAAAGAAATACTACATTGCTTACCGAAATCTCGATGTTTTCTCCTTCAATGTTCTCCTTTCTTTCTCTTGTTCTCACACTAGACTATTATCTCTCTCTCTCTCTAAATCTTGAAAAATAGAAAAATGGAAGTGTGGAGAGGAAGGAAAGGGGAAGAGCAATTTATAGAGTTTTAAAAATGTCAGATTCGCGCCAAGTGGCAAAATTCGGTGAAGAGAGAAGAGAAAAAGATGCTCGGCATAAAAAACGAGGGAAGAGGGCCTCCTCCACCAGCGGTAGTGGCGCGCTGCCTGAGGCAGCGACGGGACACTGCTCAAGGTGGCAGTGCCCCGAGCGGCGCACTGCAGGCTAGCCTGCAAGCACACAGGCCTCCTGCCACACGCGCAAGGCCTAAGCGGACTGGGCGCCGCGCGTAGGCCTACTGCTCGAATGGCACATGCATAGTGTGCGACACCTATCTACGCACGAGGTGACTCGCAGATGGCCCGCCTACGCACAACAAGGCACGCGGATGGCCCGCCTGCACGTGACAAGACGCGCACAGGTCCTGACCCCGCTCCGTGTGTATTGTGCGCACGTGTGTGCGAATGGGACGTGCACATTATGAGCACATCCTGTGGCTACTATGCACACATGCGCGCGTGTACAATGCCCAGCACCTACGTGGGCAACTTGTGTCCCCGCAGGATTTTCTTTCCGATTTACTGTTTTTTTTATTTTTCTCAATTTTTAATTTAAATGAGTTAGAATTAAAATAAAATAATTAAATAATAATTAAATAATAATAAAATAAATTAAATAAAATTAAATATCAAGCAGAGTAAATTAATTAAGTTTAACGTGACCAAAGGTCAAATAAATAAGGTTTCCAAATTATTTAAGCACAGTGATGGGCGGAGTACTATAGGTTCATTTTAGATCAGGATCTCTATGTTGGTCTTTCTAACATAACAAAGAATCTTGAAGGAATATGATTTCTACAGAAGCTTAGAAGCAAACACACAGAAGAAGGAATTGTGTGCTTTTATTTACACGCTAAGCAATTAGGAATGATTAGTCACTTAGTAATGTAATAGAACAAAAGCACAATGAAATAATAAAAACATAGATCACAAAGAAGACAAAATGGATTTAAAGCATAGTGATTCGATCAATCCTGAGGGATATAACAGAAAGGTGTATCCTAATTATACAACCCAGTATTGGCTACGCTCTATGAATGATCAAGTTTTTTATGCAATGTTAAACCAAAATTCTGAGATGTAAAACAGAAATTAAACGTGAAGCAAAAAAGGTTTTTGCTCACAGTGAGTGAGTTAATCTTCCTTTTTCCTTTATGCAACAGAATGAAAACCAAACTCTTCTTTTGACTCCTCAAAGGTTTTCTAGTCATACTAGTAGGTAGTTACTCTTCTTTTAAATGGAAGAATGAAAATAGTGTGTCAATTGCCTTGTGGTGTGCAATTGGGATATTTTTGGGTTTTTGATTTTGTATTTTTTTTAATAATGATAGAAACATGAAACCACTTGAATTAAACGGATAATTATGAATCCAAGCGGAATGCAATACGCATTAACAATCCAAAATTATTTTGATCGTTAATTAATGAACAAAATGCTAAAGCAATTAAAGATAACTGGTTCACTAGGAGCTTGAGCTCTTATACCACCTGATGCGGAAGGGTATGGAAAAGATCGTTTTGACTCCTGGAACCAGAACTTAATGCATGCAATACATAAATTTAGCTGCCTAATTAACCCCTCCCTCGATTTGAATCTACAACCAAATTTTTTGGTATGCAAAAGCAAGAACTAAAAAAATTAAAACAAGAAAAAGAAAGACATCGCGGCTTACCGGATAAGTCGATCACAGTTTCCTTCCTAGTATTCCTTAGGTTTATCAATTAACACCAGCTAACTTTTTATAACAGTTATTAATTTGATTCAATTAAATTCATGATAATTCAATTAATCGACATTCATTCAACTATATTACTCTTATTCAAGTTTATTTAACTTTAACAGTATATGTCTAATTGATAGAATTTCATTCCCGTTCCTCCAAAATCATCAATCATAAATAACGTCATGAGTTGGCCAATTCTCATAACCTAATTAAGTTCAATACAGCTAAATTGCAATCAGAAAAAAGTTAAAAATTAAATCACAAATTTACCTTTAATTCATGCTACATCAATTACTTTGACCAAGAAAATTTAGTCAAAACATGGTGGGTTGAGCAATAACAATTATATTTGAGAGAAATATAATCATATAATAATCAATAATAAATTTATTTAAAAAAAATTCAAACACTAACATGGGTTTCATAAAAAAAAAATTCTATGAGAATTTTTATCCCAAAAATATGTTAATTTAAAATTAAATAAATAAATTACTTGATTAATCCCTTCTCTTTTAGCTTGTCTCCCTTCTGCTTGGCTCAACGTTTGCTTCTGCTTTATGGTTCTATCTTTCTGCTCGGCTCACCGCGTTTTTGCTTCTTCTCCAGCTGCACGCGACTTCGCTTCTGCAAGTTTCTACAAACTTCTGCGTCTAGCTTTCTCAACCAGTGCTGCTATCTTTTCTACTTCACCCACTAGCAACTTCACCTCTTTGTCTACAAATCTCCTCTTCTTCCCTTTTTTTTTCCTCTTTTCTCCCTTTAATAGGTGGCTGCCATAGAGGAGGTGGAGTTTTCTTTTTTAACCCTTTTTTCTGCTGCTACTTCTTTTCTTTTTCTTTTTTATGTGTGTGGCTGCTGGGATGGGCTGCTACATATTCGAGCTTGGACTTCTATGGGTCTGGGCTTTTGGCTTCTTCTTCTTTTCTTTTTCCCTTTTCAGCTTTTGTTTCCTCTTTTCTTTAACATAACAATCTGCATAAAAAGTTTAATAATTAATTTATTTTTAATTAATGTTATTTCAAAATTATTCCAAATTTAAGTAAAAAGAGTATTAAAAATATTATAAAAATACAATACATCAAATACTCCAAATTTAAATTTTTACTTCTCTTCAAGTAAAAGACTAAAAAGAAACACTTAAAAGTAAATTTTTCCACCACGTTCTTCAATTCAGTTTGATAGTATCCAAATTATATTCCTTTCTTGTAATTGTTAGTCAATTGAAAATTCAAAAAAAAATGTTGTAAAATATAAATAGATTATATTAGTTCTTATATCCCTCAATAAAATTTGCATAATTTCAACACATAAGTTCCCTCTCTAAATCTCTACTCTTGATTCATAATTTATGATTTGTTTAACCTTACTTCTTTTCTACTTCAACTAAGGTAGTGAACTTAACACTATTTACCACATATATATATTTTTTTCACAATTTCTTTTATTATGAGTACGTTTTATGCTATATCTCACACTTTTATCTCAAACATATTTTTGCTAATGAGTGTGTCTTACGCTCCATCTCACCCTTTCATTTAAAATATTTATCATTATTATTATTACTTTTTCTTAGTGAGTGTGTTTTACACTCCATCTCACCCATCATATGCTAGCTGATTTATTTCATTCACTCAAACTTAGTTTAGGACTAGCTAAAAGATAAAAATCAAACTCATATTTTTTATCACAAGTGTAATGCGCTAGATTAGGTTCTTATGCAATTGTCCTTACACTGATTAAGTTAAGGGAAATAATTGCTAATTATTCTAATTATTATTTGCAAGCATATCCTATTTTCTTTTCAAGGTAACCACAATCTTAGTCAGGACAAAATATCAATTTCACCATGCTTCATTGATTACTTATGGTGAAAAGTTTAGCCTTTTAGTGTATAAAAGAGAAAAGATAAACTTAAAAAAAATGACATTTTAAACTCTAAAGACCCAATACCCCTAAACTTACTATAAATAGTGTCTTCACTGTTTATTAACACATTATGCCCAAGAAAATAAAAAAAATAGTGAAGAAATGAAATACTCCCCTTGCGTGTCCACGTAGCTTACTCAAAAATTAGATGCTAGAATTTTGTCTTGAGAGCTATTCTAATCAAAAGAAGATATCATCAACATCGAAGCGCATATTACTTGGACCATCTATATTGGGTTGCCTCCTAATTAGTGCTTTGTTTATAGTTATCTCAACTTTGCAATAGATGGCTTAAGTTGGGTTAGGGTGAATCTCAACGTATCGAAATTCCCTCCCAAATGTGCATACCTTTTTTTAATTTTTTATGTATTGCCCCATTGTCTTCTTGATCATCCTCTTCATTTGATTTGGCTATTTCCTTAACATTAAAGTCTTTTTCTATCTTGGTGAGACTTTTGGACACACACTCATCAATTATATCAAATTTAAAGCATTCATTAGTATCCAAAGGAAATTTTAAGGCATGAAAAATGTTAAAAGTTACATGTTCGCACAATGTTAACTAACCATCCTGCACATGAATTAATGCTCTACCTGTTGTGAGAAAGGGTCTCCTAAGTATGAACAGAACTTTTTTATTGACCTCCGTGTCCAAAACCACAAAATCAATCGAGAATATGAAGTTCACCACCTTTACCAGCACATCCTTTACTATTTCTAGAGATATCTCGCCGATTTATCTGCCAATTGCAATGACATTGTTATGGACTTCACCTCACTAATACTTAACTTTTTGAACACCGAATACGATATAACATTAATACTAGCACCAAGATCACAAAGAGCTTTATTAAAATTAAAATTTCTAATATTGCATGGTACAGTAAAACTCCCTGGATCTTTCACTGTAGGAGGCGATGTATTCTAGATGATGGCATTGCACTCTTCTGTGAGCCTAA